CCCTGTAAATATATAATTAAGTCAAAAAGAGTGATTTTCCTATGAAAACGTTCATTTCAAGTATTCTGGGACTTAGACATATCCTTCATCTACGATGTTCCATTGCGTACTTAGGATGCAGGCGTCTGTCCCTGAATAGGCGTTCCAGTTCAGCAACAGCTTCATGCAGGAGGTGGGAGACATTGTCTTTCAGTCATGTTCTTTTAGTCAGAGTCCTGCTCTGGGTCGACGGGGCATCGTCTCACAGAGCTGGGTTTCCTGATTAGCTTAGCCAGCCGCTTCCTCTCAGCTGCAGATAAGCTGATGCCACAACAGAGTCAAAGGTCATCAGGAGAGTCTCCTGCTTCCCAAAATACCTCAGCCTCCTCAGCGGGTAGAGTCTGCTCTGATCCTTCCTGAAAAGATCATAACTTTGTCACAAATATCTCAAAATTTCACCTTATCCATTGTGGCTGGTCCTGTCATTGAGTCATACATTTAGAAGAGCTGAAAGGTTTCTTAAAACCTTGTTTCTGCTCCAAATTTAGTCTTTGTTGGTAATGTAGTCCAACAGTGCATCGAAAGTAATTCTGGTGTTTGAAAATTCATTGAAATAAACAATCCAAACAAAGGATAAATTGTGTTTTTATTACACCATCCTATGGCTAAAGAAACATTTCTAAAATAATTACGGCTCAAAATTATTCACACTTCTGATTAATACTAGATTTATATTGGTCTTTTATTGTTACCACATATTTTTCTGATAGGAATATAAAATGTTGCTTTTACAACATTTGAAATGTATTATTGAAATGCTGTTGAAAACAGAAAATGTAGATTGGATTTTTATTCTTAATGAATTCCTTTTGTCATTTCAAACAAACTGCTTTTGAATGAAAATAAGTATGCAAGGGGTATGAATACTATTACGTCAAATTATTTATGAAAAAAATATTTTTCTCAAAAACTTAAGATATTCAACATATAGACATTTGTAATACTTATGTGTCAGAGAAAGCCTAGTAATATATGAAGTCCAGTGGTCTGAGGGAAAATAAAGTTATTGTTTGATAATATGAAAAAGTGAAAGCTAAATTTGACTGATTAGACATTTTACTAAACATGAATGAATGTTATCAGTATTTGTTTCAATATCTAACACTGACAGTCCTAACTATAATTATATAGTTTTGTCTCTGACAATTGAATAAAATTGCCAATTTTACCTACACTCCTCACCAGTAGGTGGCGGCGATGCACACCAGAAGCTTTTTTTTTCTTCTTTTCGCCAACCCGCAAAAACCGCAAGAGGAAGAAGAAACTGAATAGTAGGATTTCCTGTTTCTGCATCTTAGGTCATGCGGGGACAACGCGTCCCGCTTTTCATGGTTTGGTGATATTTCTGGTAAGAAAACAGTAAATATTCTCATAGTTTGTTGAAATATGTTTGTACCTTCGCAATAAAGTGTTGAGCAGGCAGTATTTTAACAGGATGGTGTGTTTCAGAAAGGGATGGTGAAGAAGAGCTGAGTGCGGCGCAGAGCGGCCATTTCCTGCTGAGGATCAGTTGTGGGATCGTCTGTGAACTCCAGCGTCCTGGTGAGCTGAAATATTGCTGTTGAATTAAAACTTTGATGAAATAATTCATTGAGTTCCTCCACACGCTTTAAATAACTGCTTTTGTCTAAATCAGCTCTTTGGATGTTGCTTGTACAGGTCAGAGGCCACTGCTATGTTTCTGTTATTTTATGACATTTATTTAGTGCTTTTTCAGTTTTAATTATTAGTTTTTCTTATTCTGTAAGCTTTCAACATTTTGTCTCTGGTTACCAAACTTTAGCCGATGTCTCTATTCTGTTTGTTGAACAAAAGTAGAAAGTACAATACTGCACAGTAAGAAGCCCAGCTATTGTCCTGTGAGGATATCTGGGACCAACTAAAGATCCTAATAGATGAGTTATAGAATCACATTGTATTTTACAATGATTTGTAGCTTTTTAACTTTGTTCATTTTGTGGTTCCTGTCTCTTTTAGCTGGGCCCACAAGTTGACCTCACCACCAGTTCACCCATCTCTCTGGTTGTGAAGAGGAGCGGTCTCCATTAGAAGAAATGGAGCATCGAGGCAAAACGCTGGAGGCTGATTTCAACCCCAAAGTCCTGCTGCATAGATTAGGTTTGTATGTTTTCTTATCAGTAATGGTTTAGGAGCAGCTTTATGAGGTTTATCTTCTTAAAAGAAGGTTGAGAAACGGTTTGTCTCTGTGTTAGCAGATTCGCTTTCTATCTGATGGAAGAGTGACTGAATCCCAACGCAAATAAACGTATCAAACCTGATTCATCATTGAAATATTCAACTTTTCTGCTGCTCTTGGTTCAGTGGAGCTCTGGTTCCTAAAGCCATTGAAGATTATGTTCAGGTCTTTGGCTTTCATTTTCTGGTTGGCTCTCCTCACCTAGGGTTGAAGTCGGTTATCTTGCTGATCTTCACCCAGTTTGAACAAACTGATCAAAGGATGGTTATAGTGAGACTCTCTTCCCCATCAGCTCTGAAACTGTGTATAGAGGCACTTTGGTCTGGAAAGTCTGCATTCAATCACAACGTAAAGAACTGAGCTCTGCTCTTAAAACATTACAAAGAATTCCTCTAAGATGAACCTGGGACATTTTTTTTGACAAGCAGTTTCAAGTGTTTTTGAAAGTAATCATTTCCCTTCTCCATTGCTTGTGGGTTGAGAATGTTGAATCTAGCAAGGATGTTCATCTCTGGGAATCTTCTCTGAATTTGGAGATGGTCTAAGTTTGGATTCATTATCTTGTGAAAATAATGTATTTTTTTAAAGCTGGATAAAACACAGGCTATTTGTTTAATTTTATAGTTTTTTCCAAGTTTGTGACTGGAAACACAGATTCCGCTGAAAAGTTGAGATGGCCATTTTGTATCATTCACCTCCTTAAATGCAAAGGACAGAGATTCAGAGAGTGAAAATTTAGAAAATTATACTGCAAATAACTTTTGATATGATCTTAAAACATGGATAAATGCAAGGCCGGTAATTTGTGTAGCCCATTTTGCAATAGTTTGTCTTGAACAGTAGAACAGTGCTTTCAGTACGGCTGTGTGATTTCTACCGTTTTTGCCTGTCATCACAGCAGCACCATCTGTCCCCAAATCAAAAATCCAGTTTGTTGGTATGACTTCGACTGATCACCTCGCGGTTGACTTCTACAATTTTATCTGCTTTCCCATCATTTAGTGTCACGAAACTGACAGATTATTTTTTTTTATCAAGCATAAAGTTTCATTTATATTCCCAGCAATATAAATACTTGCCTAATAATATTTATATTCTGCCTGATCAAGGACACATCTGTAATTCGTCCCCCTGCGGACCAATGGCAGTAGAGAGTCGGATGACCTCTAGAATTGGTTTTTCCACATCTCTAGCTGGTGTCTCCAGCATCTCATCCTCAGTTTTGTGGGATCTACCATTGGCCCTCATGTCAATCTAATTCTTATTAATTACTGGCTCAAAGGCTTCCTTGCAAGCCTAGAACATGAAAAACATTAGAGATGTTACATTGAATTATTCGGTGATTATTCATTTTAGTCAGTATAATATATTTGTATTATTTAGTCTTTACTTTTGCTTTTGCGTGCTGCCATCTCAGTGCTTGATCGATGATGGAGAGAGCCAAGATGTGTGTTCAGCACATCTTGCCTGTATGTCGTAAAAGGAGCTTCAATGAAGGCCCCAAATGAAGCTACTTGTATTTGTCGCTGATAGTGATTGTGACACACACTATAAAACATGCCTGATATTAAGCTGCATAAAAATGAAATGCAACCAATAGCTTAAATAGCCTATATCAATATCATTTCCAAATTGATGGGATTGGTAAAAGTGGAATATAATGGAATTTTTTTTAAGCCGTCAGTCAAAATGATGGAAAGCCAAACAGACTTGAGTGACCTCTGACCTCTGGCAGTATTGCCTGTTTTCCCTGTGATGAATATATTTTGAAAGACAGGTTTGTTTGCAGAAATTTCACAATCCATTTTATTTTTATGTTGTTTTATTAATATTTTAAAAAAATGTTCAGTGTCGGTGTTAATTCTTCTGCTATTCAAAAAACTTTATGCTTTTAAAAAAAAAGGTTATCATTTATTGTACATGTCAATTAAAAGGCCCGTGGGCCACATCTGACCCGCCATAAAGTTTTATGTTGGCCAGAAGGACACATACATAGAACCTTGAATAAAAACCGTTGTATGCTTTAGTAATATTTTATCAATCAATAGAAAGCAGTTTTCAACAGAAAAGGATTAGGGCCACAGTAAAGAAATTCTAAAAAAAAAAATAATAATAATTTTCAGAATTTGTAAGAATTATTCTGACTTTAATATTCTAATATCAAAAGTCAAAAATTGACTATTTTTCTCAAAATTTTGACTTTTGATCTCAGAAGATTAAAGCCAGAATACATTTTTGTTTTTCCACTGGCCACAAAACTGCTAAACTACATCAATGTGAAATAATGTTCAGGTTTATTTAACTGTTAAAAAGGTATCCATCCAATAGAGGCAACTATTTATTCAAATTTTAGAGGTTTATTAATGGATTTTATCAACATGTTTTACCACATCCAGCTCTTTGAGGATATTCATAAATTTGATAGGGCTCAAAATAGAAATGATTTTGATACCACTAGTTTATTTTAATAATTTCTGGGACAATTAGTTGCCCAGCAAAATGTATTATAGTGACAGATCTGTTTGGGTTTTACATTAAGCTTGCATAAGCCAAACAAGTGGTGTGACTTTTATACCAAACAAATACCATGGTGCAGTTTTGTCCAAAAATGAGCCACATAGATGGTTTATATAAAAACTGCTAGAGGTGAAGCTGCTGCAAGGACTGTGTGATTGTTCGGCGTTCCCAGCCCAGTTCATTGCTTCAAATTTAAACTGGTCTTTGTTATCACTGTTGCTGGGGAAGAGATACTATGAAAAACAGGCTTAAAATGCGGATTTGGGGTGGGGGTGTTGCCTAACAGCGAACAAAATCGCAGTTCAATTTGAAGTTAAAAATTTATGTAGGATGGTTTTTCACTCGAGTAATAATGTGAATATTAAAGCTCCGCGGAGCCTCAAGTGGCCCTCGCAGCTAAGCGCCGCTCAGGCCTATAGCCACCGCGGGGATTCCAGCACCGCCTCTCGCCAGCCACCGCCGACGCTCGTGCACCGTCCTCCATGCGATCCACTTTGATGCCTTCGGCAGCGTTCCCTGGCGATGCACCCAAAATCTGGAGCAGATTGGGCCATGTGGCAAGGAGATACAGCTGTTTGATTAACCTAGGGGGCGCAGTGGAGTCAAATTGCAATTAAACTCTATTGGGCTCCTTAGAGGTTCACAAGTGTCACTCATAAAAAGTCTGGTGTAAATCGGATGATGCGTGTGTGAATAAGAGACGATCGTATGCATATGGCGAGGGACAGCCATTTTGCCACGCCCCCACGGGTCAGTAGGCATTGACAGAGTTCATCTTCATGTCATTTTATGTCAGTCTGCACAGGATTAAACCCATATGAATTAGAGTGTAAAAGTAAGACATACAGT